ATCTACTGTATCTTATGGTATGTTAATTTCTGTCACATCTCAGCTGCTTTTTGGCAATAATAATGTAGACATTTCATTTCTCTTATTCATAATCACGAATTTATTATACATATTCTAATATTGTCTAGGCTCATAAGTAAATTGAAATTTTTGGCAGATGACAGTTTGCATTTGTTTCAATGCCAAACAATGTCTCAAATATTCTCTATGTCAAACAATGACATGTGTTTTTTTACCATTTTTTTCCATTTATTTCTGCAATATTACTATATTTTCATAATCACATATATCCTAAAAAAATCCCTTAACAAACTTCAGAAAGATTTATCAAAATCGGAATAATCGTTTAGGAGGAGTTTATTTACATACATAATTACAGAAGAATTTTATATATAAGATATACATATATATATATATATATATATATATATATATATATATATATATATATATATATATATATATATATGTTTTACAGGTGTACTTTGTTGATGACATGAATATGCCCGAGGTCGATTTGTATGGTACAGTGCAACCGCACACATTAATCAGACAGTTCTTTGATTATGGACATTGGTATATACTAGCAATAACTAGAAAACAAATCAAACTTTGTTATATTCTTAACTTTTATTTTTAAGGTATGATCGAATCAAATTGTCCTTGAAAGACATACACAATTGCCAATATGTATCATGCATGAATCCGACTGCTGGTTCCTTCACCATTGATCCAAGACTCCAGAGGCATTTCTGTGTGTTTGCGATGAGGTAATTGTAATATTCATAAATAATAGAGTGAGACCAATTTACTTTAATCTATTTTTTTCCAGTATCCCGGCAGTGGATGCCCTAACAATGATCTACTCAGCAATTCTCCAGGAGCACATGACGATGCCTTCGAGCAAATATGCTTCCTCGATGGCCAAAATGGTTCCTCTGATTGTTCAGAATGCAATCCAGTTGCACATGAGAGTTGCTGCCATGTTTTTGCCTACAGCTGTCAAGTTTCACTACACTTTCAATGTCCGGGACTTTGCTAACGTCTTTCAGGCAAGTAGAGAAAAGATTAACCATAGATAAACAAGTATAAATAGATGGCAATTAAATCAATTTTAATTCTTTCTGCATATCACAGAGGTCGCCACCAACCGTAGCACGTAAATTTACCCTTAGGTTCAATTCTCGGATAAGATTCATATAAATATATAATATAGAAAAGTTAAACGCGTACAAAATATATTTTCAACAAAATCACAAATATGTTGTAGTAAAAAATATATAAGAAAAAAATCATTTTTTTTATTCGAAAAAGATATATTTCAATATATAAAATTGGTACTTGAACGTTTAAAGTGCGTGTACTATATATAGAGAAACAGAGTTTTATAACAAACGCTGAATTTGAAGCACACTAGCACCATCTGTGATATGCTGAAAACTAGGGTTTATACAAAGACCGACATTTCAGAAAACCGGTTTTCGAATTTTAATTTCACTAAAAAACCGGTTTTAACCGGTTTTCGAATTTTATATAGAAAATAAATTTTTGCTCGAATATTCTGTAATTTATCCGCAAATTTAGTGTAATTTAGAGCAGAATTTGACTTTATTTATTTATTGTTCAATTTTATAGATAGTAAACAAAATTATTTTAATTTTAATTAGTAGAACTAAAAAAATAATAGTTTATCTTGATTAAATAACTTTGAAAATAATTATTCGTTATTCATGCATCATTTTCATATATAAGAATGAAAATATTTTTATGATAGTGAAAGGAAAGTTTTCGAATAAATAAAAATAATACATTTATAAATAAAAAAAATTCATTAAATTAAAAAATAAAAGTAAAAAAAATATTATATACATGTTGATACATACTTGTTAATATCAATTTTAGTTTTAAAAACAATTAAGCTAAACTCGGGTATTGTATGTTCCGCGAAATTTTAATTAATTAATTTTAAACATTCTAATTGTTTTTTGTTTAATAAAATATGATTTAAAAAAACTGAGAACGTCTTTCGAATTGCTGCTTAGACGTGTCCTTTGTTTACTCACAAAATTTCCTGAAATAGAAAATACTCTCATACAAGCGACCAAATTATGCTTAATTATTTTTAAAGCCTGATATAATAAGTTTTTTGTTCTTCAATTTGTGGCTTCTAGGGTTTAAAACTCATTTTTTTAAGTTTGAGTAGAGCAAGTTACTTCTTCAAGAAGAAGTCACACTGATTTAAATTAATATATACACTGGTATAAAAATCTAAATTAATATATACAAAACATTTCTGGGAACCATTGCAGACTTATAAGATATAAAATGCTATTGAACCGATATGATTTCAAGAATCAAAACGCTTTCATCTATCTTTTATATTTGGCTATATTTGTCATTTTCCATTTATACAGCGAAAACCGACTTTTTTCACTATAAAACCGGTTTTCGAATCCCATAATTTTGCCAAAAAACCGGTTTTTAAAACCGGTGTTTGAAAACCGACAAACCCTACTGAAAACACTCATACAGAGTAAAGCGCATTTGTTATATATTGGGTATATATAGATTTACCCCCCCTGGATTAACAGCAAAATAGTCTATTAAAATTTAATAAATTGGTACATGTATGTTTATTGTTTTTTATTTCATTAGGGAATGCTGTATGCGACAGGTGATGCTGTCAATAATAATATCAACATGTTGGTGAGGTTGTGGATGCACGAGTCGACAAGAGTGTATGGTGATAAATTAGTCGACTCAAAGGATCAAAAGGAATTTGATAAACTTTTGCAAGAAGTTGTAAAGAAAGGATTTGAGGTATGAATTATCTAGCAAATTATTGACTTCCCATCGTCACAAATCGCGAAATTCATTTTTTTTGCATTTCTTCACGTTTCAAAGGTTTCTGAACGTTTTGGCATACCTTAGAGAAAATGGTTGTTTGTATGTGTGGATATAATGTTTCGTTGACGATTTCGGGCGCAAGAATCAACCGATTTGAATGGTTCAAAAAACATTTGATTCTCATTGGTAGGGAGATGTGCTGATAAGTTTTTTGCAAAGGCAGGTCCAGACGTTTCGAAGTTACCGAGAAAAAGTGCAAAAAATAGAAATCGAGTTTTTGGAGCATCCGATTCGATCCAAAATTCGTAATAATAATTAATGTATACGTATAATGATTCGAATATTTCAATTCGTAATGATGAGAAGAAGTAGTGATTATTAGTTTTAGAAAAAAACAGGTCCAGCCGTTTTGGAGATACGGAGCAAAATGTGCAAAAATTGCATTTTTTTAGAGAAATAATTATAGTTAATAAACTTTCCGTAGGGTAAGCTATAGTAATCGCAAAAAATCGAAAAAATGACAAATTTTATATATCTTTACGTTTCAGCGTTTCTGAACATTTTGGCATACCTTACAATTAGAAAAAATTAATTTTATTTTATTATTTTTAAATTAAAGAAATATATACAAATTAATGATAAAATTGATCACTAATTAAATAGGGTAAGTTATAGTAATCGCAAAAAAAAGTTTTATATATCTTTACGTTTCAGAGGTTTCTGAACATTTTGGTATACCTTAAAAAATGAATTTTATTTTATTATTTTTAAACTAAAGAAATATATACAAATTAATAATAAAATTGATCACTAATTAAAGAAAAAATGCCAAGAACAAAATTTTCTTCCAAGAACAAAATGCCCCAAATTTATTATTTATTTATTACGCAGCAAATTTGCAAAATATATAAACGAACTATAGCAAGTTTTACTCAAAATTTTATTATCAAATTGTATAAGACCCTTTATACGAAATTTTAGTAAATTTTATCTAGTTTCTGCTGAGCTAAGAGCATCCAGTAAGAAGTTTTCAAGTTATTTAACAAAATGTAAAAAAATTAAAAAAAAGTTTGCGAAAGTGAGTTCAAACTAATATTTTTTTTTGTATTTTTATATAGGAGGAGATAAGACTGTTTATATAGTATTTTAATAAATTTTATCTAGTGTCAATTAAGCTAATTTACAATTAATGTGTGTGTGTGTGACAAATTTTTGTCGACGATTTTGGGAATACGGATTAACCGGTTTGAATAATTCCCAAGAAACATTCGATTCCTATTGATAGGGAGATGTGCTTAGTTTTTGGGAAAGGCAGGTCTCGCCATTTCGAAGATACAGAGCTAAATATGCAAAAAATGGTAGTTTTTGAGTGAACAAAGCGTCCGATTTGAATGATCTAAAAAACATTCAATTTGTAATGATTGGGAGAAGAGGTGATTAGTTTTTGGCAAAGGCAGGTCCCGGCATTTCGAAGATACAGAGTATAATATGCAAAAAATGGCCGTTTTGGAGTGAACTAAGCGTCTGATTTGAATGATCGAAAAAACTTTTTGCTCGTATTGACAAAACAATTGCTTTTGAGGATAAAAATTAGTACATCTTTTTTTATTTCCATAAGATATTTTTGTAATTTCGGATTAAAAATTCAAAAAATTACCCAGACTAAGCACAGCCTAAGCGCCACTCTGGTACAAATGTTTACTAAAGTGCGTTTAGACTGTTTATGTACTACGCTTTTCCAATTTTGTAATTTTGAAAATTATTGAAAAATGTAAAAATGCCGCCAAGCTAAGCACAGTATAAGTGAAAATGTCGCACAGAACTATTTGCAAATGCGTTTAGACTATGACTATACGGGAGCACTTTTTCAATTTTGTGTAAATTAGGCAACTATTTTTTTGAAATTGAGTTTGAAATGAAATGACGATTGTTAATGTTCTTCTGGAGATAAATTGATTTATGATTTACATTTGATTTGCTCAGATATAACAAGATAGCGAAAATAATGAATGTTACACAGTATATGTAATAATATATTTGAAAGCGTTTAAAATTTCTCGAATATTTCATTACGGTACGGGAAGTTCGAGCAATTTGCTTTAAGGCACGATGCCATACACCACTAGTTAATTTTCATATTTCATTTATACCAGGAACTGGAAGACAGTGTAATCCAGCAAGAACCTTTGATCTTCTGCCACTTTGCGGAAGCGATTGGTGACCCTAAATACTTCCCAATACCCAATTGGCAACAATTGATCAAACTTTTGGATGAAGCCATGAGCACTTATAATGATCTGGTTGGTGCCATGAATTTGGTGCTGTTTGAAGATGCTATGGAGCACGTATGCAGGTTAATAAATTATATTTTTTATTGTTATTGCATATTTTTTTTGAATATTTTATTAATTATGTAATGTTTTTCAGAATCAATCGTATTTTGGAAGCACCCCGAGGTAATGCACTGCTGGTCGGTGTTGGTGGTTCAGGAAAGCAATCTTTGTCCCGACTGGCTGGATTTATATCGACCCTGGATATTTTCCAGGTTCAATTGAGAAAAGGATATGGGATACTGGATCTTAAAGCAGATTTAGGTACGTCAATGTTTATAAAGTTATTTTGTATTTTATTAAATTCCCGTAGGGTAAGTTATAGTAATCGCAAAAAAACGAAAATGAAAATTTTTATATATCTTTACGTTTTTACATTTTGGCATACCTTAGAAAAAATAGATGTATGTGTGCATGTGCGGCTACAATTTTCAATCGACAATTTCGAGAATACGAATCAACTGATAAGAATAATTCAAAAACATTCGATTGCTATTGATAAGGACGTGCTAATTAGTTTTTTGGCAAAGGCAGGTCTAGCCGTTTCGAAAATATGGGACGAAAAATGCCAAAAATGGATTTTAGTTTTTGAGAGAACGGAGCGTCCGATTTTAATATTACAAAAAACATTTTACTTGTATTGACAAAATGAACAATCGGTGAAATTTTTGGGAAGACAAGTCTAGCGCTTCCGGAGAACCAATAAAATTGGCTATTTGGTCAAAAATGATCATTAGAATATGCACATTAAATTATCAGATTTTTTCAGGGATTTTAATCATGTGTACACAAAATTTGTATTTCTGAAAATTTTCTACAAAAAAATCAAATTTTCGAAATTTTTCATTATTTTAAAAAAATTTTAAACTTTCAAAAATATCGAACTTTTAAAAAAAAATCGATTGCTCACAAAAATTTGAGAATATTTCGCAATTTTCAAAAAAAAAAATCAAATATTTTCAAAAATGTGTACATAAAATATCGTAATTTTGAAAATTTTCAACAAGAAAAACAAATTTTCGAAATTTTCCAATATTTTCAAAAAAAATCTAAATTTTGAAAAACTTCAAAAATTATCGATATAAAAAAAATCAATTACTTACAAAAATTTGAAAATTTTTCGAAATTTAAAAAGAAATCAAATATTTCCAAAAATGTGTACATAAAATTTTGTAATTTTGAAAATTTTTAACAAAAAAAATCAAATTTTCGAAATTTTTCATTATTTTCAAAAAAATTCTAAATTTTGAAGAATTTCAAAAATATCGAAATTTAAAAAAAAATCGATTTCTTACAGAAATTTGAGAATATTGCGAAATTTTCAAAAAAAAATCAAATATATTCAAAAATGTGTATATAAAATATGGTAATTTTGAAAATTTTAAACAAAAAAATCAAATTTTATAAATTTTTCATTATTTTCAAAAAAATCTAAACTTTGAGAAATTTAAAAAAAATATCAAAATTTAAATAAAATCGATTTTATACAAAATTTGAGAATATTTCGAAATTAAAGAAAATGTGTACATAAAATTTTGTAATTTTGAAAATTTTCAACAAAAAAATCAAATATTCAAAATTTTTCGTTATTTTCAAAGAAATCTATTTGATTCTATTTGATCTATTTGATCTAAACTTTGAGAAATTTAAAAAAATATTAAAATTTAAATAAAAATCGATTTCTTATAAAATGTTGAGAATATTTCGAAATTTAAAAAATAAATAAAAATATTTTCAAAAATTTCCAAATTCTTAAAAAAAATCAAAATTTTGAAAAAAACTTTAAAATCATCAATAAAATCAAATTTAAAAAAAAATTGAACGAATTTCTTGTAAACATTTCTATGAGTTCCGTACCAATGTCTATCTGTTAGACTGCGATGCGGCGCTTACGCGTTTCTATATTTTATCTCTAAAACAGCCACGCAGCACAATTGTTTTAAAAAAAAGTTTAGTTAATTTTCAGAAAATTTCATAGTATAATAAAAATTTTAAATACAAAAAAAATCAATTTTTTCAAAAAAAGTCAAATATTTTCAAATATTTAAAATTTCTCAAAAATCTAATTTTTTTTAGAAAAATTCATTTTTAGAATTGAAATATAAATAAAACAAATTTTTCAAAAAAGTAAATTTTTTTCAAAAATTTAAAATTTCTCAAAAATCTATTTTTTTTAAGGACTAGTGGTAAGAAATGTCTATACTTCTTAAATAAAATTTTTAGTACGGGAAGTTCCAGCAATTTGCCTTAAGGCACGATGCCATACACCACTAGTTTATTTTTTCTTATATCAGCTACTCTGTACATGAAGTCTGGTGTAAAAGGAATCGGCTCCATGTTTTTGATGACGGATGCAGAAGTCGATCAGGAAATATTCCTGGTGGTCATCAATGATATGTTGGCTTCAGGAGAGATTCCGGATTTATTAGTTGAGGAAGATGTTGAAAACGTTATGGGCACTATGAGGAATGAGGTAAAGATAAAAGATTTAATAGTAATATGATGCGATTATTGATTTTGTTATTTTTTCCCAGGTGAAACAAGTAGGTTTGGAAGATACTCGCGAGAATTGCTGGAAATACTTTATTGATCGCGTACGAAGAACTCTTAAGGTAATTATAGACATACTTCAATGCTTATTTTATTTTTAAATATATAGCCCACAGATTTCTTCTAAGAGGACTCAAAAATACAATTATTTTACATAATGAATAACAATTAAAATATATAGATTATATTTATAGATATATATTTATACAAAATTACAATATATAGTTATTAATATAAAATGCTTAAGATAAAATTACATATAATGCAGAATGTAACAATATTATTTATAAACAGAATAAGATAAAATAATGAGATATTTGAAAAGAAATTAAAAAGGTTAACTTGTGCAGATGGAGATTATTTGATTAGGTGAAGTGTTGTAAATATCTAAGTATTTCATTATTAATTAAGTTAAAGTTAGAGGACATAAGTAAAATTGGCGAATTTAAGAGAGAATTAGATTTAGGAGTAGGATAATTGAAAATAATTGTGAACGCGTAGATAGCCTTGTCAAATTAAAGGATAGTTGATTAAGAGTAAGAGGACAGTTTATAGAATTATTGCAAAGTTTAAATAAGAACATAATTGTACAGATAAATCGACGTGAGGCAAGGGAAGGTTTACCAAATTCTTTTAGTAAAGTGTTGTGGTCAAAGCCACGTTCAGGGTAAATTCTATATGTTTTATAATAAAGATATTTCAGAAAATTACAAATGATACAGTATGTAAAAATATTATTTACAGAATTTTATAATATTATTGATCTTTTTATATTATTTGATCAATTTATCTTTTATTTCCAGGTGGTTTTATGTTTTTCCCCGGTCGGTTCAACTTTGCGTGTTCGTGCCAGGAAATTCCCAGCTGTTGTCAATTGTACATCCATTGATTGGTTCCTGGAGTGGCCTAAGGATGCCCTGGAATCGGTGTCCAGGAACTTCCTATCAGAATTGGAATCACTACCTGTAAGTGAAAATGATTTTTCCAAAAATTTATACTTATTGTTAAAATATTGATAAAACCAGAATTAAAAAAGTTATAATCCAATTAATGCCGGGGGTGGTGGAGGAGTGATTAATATTAGCCTATTTCCAATATATCAAGCAAATGGGAGCACAGTAAAATAATCGCAGGGCACTCTTTTTTTTCTCTCCATTTACTGCAATAATTTTGTTGATCGTACGTTGAATAGAGCACATGTGAACAGGATTTGACAGATTAAGAGGCACAACTAGTGTAATCGCCTAAAAGAAAGGTGATTTTTGGGAATTTATATTAAAAAAAACTACTTTATCAATCATTTCAAAATTTTAGGAATATATTTATACAAGTTTTAGGAATACATAGTAAAATTTTTGAAGAAAAAAATTAAATATTTTTTAAGTTAGCGTCGATGTCCAACGGCGCGACAAAAAAAGGGCCCTTCGCTGCTGCAGTGATTCCGGTCTTCTACGTGGATGAAATTTAAAAAAAAAATTCTCAATAAACTAGATAATATTGTCTGTAAAATGAACTACGATAGAGAAAAAAAATCAAAAATTGACAAAATGACGGCGTTTTTTTAAAAAAAAGTCGAATTTTACCCAAAATTTTGGTCGTTTTTGGACTGCCAAAATTCGATTTTTGATCCGATCAAAAAATCGATAGTTCATTTTGCGGATAACTATATATAGAACATGTAAAAAAATTTGATAGTGATCGGATCATTTGTTTTTCAATCAATCGCTGCTGCAAATTCGGAAAATGCTGTTTCGAGAAAAACGCGTTTAAAGATAAAATGATCGTTATATATACTATATATATATACTCTTTAAATGGCTGTAACTCATAAACTATTTAAGATATCGATTTAAGATTTTGGTATGTTATTTTTAAAGGTATAAACTATCGAAATATGGAAAAAATTAAAATTCGATTTTTTAAAAATTTCACACTAGTTGTGCTCCTTAATTCACTTCAAATATAAATTTAAGTAATAATGTATATTGAATTATTGCTGAGAAAAATGTAATTTAGATATTAAAATTACTAAAAGCCAATTAAAATATGGTACGTATATATAAAAATTATAGGCAACATTATTGAAGCAATTATTTTGGGTAGAAAAATTCAAGGTGATATTGTACCTATACCGCGAATGCTATATACTAATTCTTTCTGAATTTGTTATACCTTTTAAATTTGTTTTACTTCAATTTCCAATACGTATATCTTATGCTATAAATTACAAAGGCAGACGGTGATTTTTTGTGTGATAAATTTGGAAAATCAATGTTTTAGTCATGCATAAACAAAAAATCATTCATTTATACAACCGCATCTACAGGTATGATTAAAAATATTGTATAACCTTTGGCATTAAAACAAATTGAGCTATTGGAAATGAATTCGTTCTATAAATTGCAGTGTATAATTTTTAATATACAATTTTATTGAACATATTTTAATATTTGTTAAATGGATAATTAAAGTGTTAAACAGTTCTACATTTAACATCACTCATATATTGGTGCAAATAGTAATTCGAAAAACAATAATTATTATTTTTAACTGAACGGTAAATATTAGTATAGGATATTAAAAAAATGTAGATGTGGGTACAGGACAACGTCTATTCGGCCATCTTGTATATATATATATACATATATATATATATATATATATTTGTCCATATATTTGATATTTTAATGTTCTCTAGGAGACATTAGTCAACTCGGTTTCCTTGTACATGTCTTATGTTCACACCACGGTTAACGATATGTCCATCTCTTATTTGGCGAACGAGAAAAGGTAATAATAAATGTGATAACTACACCAAAGTAAAATTATAATTATAATATGTTGTTTTTTCAATATCATTTTATTTCCTTCAAGATATAACTACACGACTCCAAAATCCTTCCTGGAATTGATATCCTTGTACGGTAAACTGTTGAATACCAAAAATAAGGAAATCAAAGATCGTATTATACGTTTGCAGAATGGTTTGACTAAATTGGAGCAGTGTGCTGAACAAGTCGATGGATTGAAAGTAAATAATATAAGCAACTTATATAAAGCCCGGTGCACCTAGCAAAGATATGATAAATTATACTTCACGAATTTGCCCGACATATAGTTTGCTATGAACAATAAACCAAAAAAAAAATACGATCTTGTCAGCCAGATTTCACGTTTAAGCTCTCTATTCACAACGGAAGTATCCTTAACATAATTCTGTCTATAACCGTTGCCTTTCAAAATTTTTAAAAAAGAAAAAATTCAAATAGTTTTTTTTTTAAAAATTCAAAATTTGCAAAAATATTCAAAATTTAAAAAAAATAAAAATTGCGTGTTTAAAGTTTTTGAAATTTAAAAATATTAAATTTTCATAAAACTTTTACTAAACTTTTCATAACCTTTTCAATATTTTCACAACAATATTAATTATCTGATAAAGATAATGATTTTAAAAATCAATAATTGTTATGTTAAGCTGCAGCATTTTTATTATCATTTTATTATTAACTTCCCGTTGGGTAAGTTATTGTAATCGTCCAAAAATTGAAATTGAAAATTTTTACATTTCTTCACGTTTTGAAGGTTTCTGAACATTTTGGCATACCTCAGAAAAAATGGATGTGTGTGTGTATGTATGGATACAATTTTTCGTCTACGTTTTCGGGCGCACAGATCAACAGATTTGAATGGTTTAAAAAACATTCGATTCCTATTGATAGGGAGATGTGCTGATTAGTTTTTGGCAACGGCAGGTCCAGCAGTTACGGAGATAAAGAGCAAAGAGTGCAGAAAATAGAAATCGAGTTTTTAAGAGAACTGAGCATCCGATTTGAATGATCTAAAAAACATTCAATTAGTAATGATTGAGGGAAGTGTTTGTTAGTTTTAGCAAAGGTAGGTCCCGCCATTTCGAAGATACGGAACTAAATGTGAAAATAATAGCAGTTTTTGAGGGAAATAAGCGTCCGATTTAAATGATTTTAAGAACTTTCTGCTTGTTTTAACAAAATAATTGGTTTTGGAAAAAAATTGTTTTAAATTTTTTTTTTCAGAATTTTTTTTTTGTCGAAAATATTTCAGATTTTATTTTTAATTCCTACTAAAGGTCTAATATATTTTAAACTAATAATTTCAACTGTGCAATTCAGTTTATATAATTCTTATTAATATTAGAAAAAGTTACAATATTTATAATAATCTATCTGAAAACATTCAATATTTCTCGAACATTTCGTTACGGTACGGGAAGTTCCAGCAATTTGCCTTAAGGCACAATGCCATACACCGCACTAGTTTACATTTCTGTTTGTACACTTATAAGCATTAGTGCATTTTAGGCCTATAAAATATGAATCGTGAAATTCACAGTGTATATTTGAAAATGCACAAAATTATTATTAATCATAAAATAAGTGAAAATCTGGCGCAAAATTCTTGCTCACCTTACCAGAAAACTTGACAGAAATTCTTTTACAAGAAATACTGGCGTTGTGTGCTCCGGGTTTAATACAATTTCTATATTGTAGCAATATTATATTGTAAAAAGTTTTAATGGTGTGTTAAGTGTTTATTATTTTTTCAAGGTTGTATTAGCAGATCAAGAAGTTATTTTGCGAGTGAAGAACGAAGCTGCTGATAAACTCATTGTTATTGTTGGAACTGAAAAAGAGAAAGTCGATAAGGAGAAAGAATTCGGTAAAAAAATTTTGAACATACTAAAATAATATTCTCATTCAATATTTCTTATTAAATTCCTCGATCTTTTTTCCAGCTGCCGAGGAAGAGAAAAAAGTGCGAGTCATCGAAGAGGACGTCAGCGTCAAGGCGAAAATCTGCGCTGAGGATCTCGCAAAAGCCGAACCGGCCCTGATTGCGGCCCAGGAGGCCCTTAATACCTTAAACAAAAACAATCTGACCGAGTTGAAATCTTTTGGTGCTCCACCAGAGGCAGTGGTCAATGTTTGTTCTGCTGTTCTCGTCCTGTTTTCGAAAAAGGGAAAAATACCCAAGGACAGGAGCTGGAAAGCCTGCAAGGTAAAGGATAATTGATGGTAATAAAACACATTTTTTGATTTATTTTTCATAGCAAGCTATACAAAGTACATTCACCTGCATTTGTTACAGTTATATATTTATTATTTGTCTGCATGAGAAGGATCGCCATCCTGCGATAGCGCCTTCTTAGATGTTATATTATATTTTGTAGTAAATCATTGCGATTCTTTTTTTGAGACGCTTTGGTGGTAAAGGCTTGAGCTAATACGTTTGGATGACGACTTAGACGAGCTTAATAAAACACTTAATTTTTTTTATTACAATATTAACTTTGCGTAGGGTAAGGAGGCATCCATTAATCACGTGATCGATTTTTTAAGGATTTTTGGACCCCTCTCACCTTTAGTGATATTCAAAATTAACCCTCCTCGAGGAAAAATTGTGAAATTTGATTTTTTTTAATATGTTTCAATTAAAAAAAAAAATAAATAAATACAAGTAATATCTTACTATACCCCTCCCTCCTCCCCTACGTGATTTTTTGTCAAATCCCCCGACCCTCCTCTTAAAAACCTCACGTGATTAATGAACGCCCCCTAAGTTATTATATTCGTTCAATAATCGTAAATATTTTTTTTTACATATCTTCACGTTTCAGAGGTTTCTGAACATTTTGGCTTTCTTCAGAAATCATGGTTGCGTGTGTGCGTGTGTGTGTATGTGTGGATACAATTTTTTGTCGACAATTCTGGGAGCACGGATCAATCGATTTGAATGTTTCAAGAAAACATTCGTTTCCTATTGATAGGGAGATTTGTTAATTAGTTTTTGGCAAAGGCAGGTCCGGCCGTTACGGAGATGCGGAGCAAAGAGTGCAGAAAATAGAAATCGAGTTTTTGAGAGAACCGAGTATCCAATTTGAATGATTCAAAAAAACATTCAATTTGTAATGATTGGGAGAAGTGGTGATTAGTTTTTGGCAAAGGCAGGTCCAGCCGTTTCGGAGATACGGAGCTAAATGTGCAATAAATGGCAGTTTTTGAGAGAACTAAGCGTCCGATTTGAATGATTTAAAAGAAAGTCTGCTTGTGTTGACGAAACAATTGCTTTTGTCATGAAAAATGACAAAAAATTTTTTTCTGAAATATTTTTTTTTTGTATATCGGAAATAATTCTGAAAGTTCACTTATAAACTTTAAATATTTATTTTTTTGTAATACATATATAAACGTCCAATATATAAGCTCTTATATTTTGCCTATAAAATAAGAATAATGAATGTTACTGCATTTATAATAATCTTTCGAAAGTATTCAATATTAATCGAATATTTCATTACGGTACGGGAAGTTCCAGCAATTTGCCTTGACGCACGATGCCACTAGCAAACTTCCCGGAAAATAAGTTATAGTAGTCGCAAAAAATCGAAAATGAAATTTTTTATATATCTTTACGTTCTAGATGTTTTTAAACATTTTGGCATACCTTATTTTTAGAAAAAATGGATGTGTGTGTGTGTGAGTGTGTCGATACAAATTTTCGTCGACGATTTCGGAAACACGGTTCACCCAATTTTAATTATTCAAGAAACATTCGATTTCTATTAATAAGGAGACACGGCGCTTACGCGCTTCGATACTTTGTCTCTATGCAGCTAAAGCAGTGGGATTGCATTGAAAAAAGTTCAAAATATTTAAAAAAAATAAAATACATTCCTCCAAATTTTTTTTTCCAAAAATTCAAATTTAAGTTTAAAAAAAGGTAATATTTTTTAAAAAAATTAATTTTTGGTTCGGGAAGTTCCAGCAATTTGTCTTAAGGCACGATGCCACACACCACTAGTTCATCGTCATTATCATCATCTGATTTTGTTTTTAGGGTATGATGGGAGACGTCAATACTTTTCTGAACAATTTGGTCTACTACGATAAAGAAAATATTCATCCGGATATCATCAAAGCTGTGCTGCCTTATTTAAAGGTACATTTTGATCATTACATGTATTTGATAAAACTGTACTTTAGGAACAAATATTTCAATTTTAATTTCTATTTCCTAGGATAAAGAATTCGATCCAGTGAAAATTCTTGCCAAGTCTGCTGCAGCAGCCGGCCTCTGCGCCTGGGTCATCAACATTTACAAATTCTACGAAGTTTTTGTACACGTCGAACCTAAAAGAAGGGCTCTTAATGCTGCCAATAAAGAGCTGCAGGACGCCAGGACAAAATTGGAAAAGCTGACCAACCAGATTAATGTAAGAGATAGATTTATAAGAAACTAGATGACCCGACAGACGTTGCCCTGTACCCATGCCTACAATTTTTTAATATGATATACTAATATTTTACCGTTTATCTAAAAATAATAATTATCGTTTTTTAAATTCTTCTTCACGCCAAAATTCATATACATTTATAGTATGAGCGATGTTAAATGTAGAACTGCTTTAAATAAAATGATGACGACTCAATTCCCACACTGTATTGGAAATTGAAGTCTTCTAAACGGTATAACATAACCATAACCATAACATAACCCTGGTACTTCATGTTGAATTAAATTAATTTAATTTTCTATTATTTAAGATATCCAAAATTGTGTCTTAAACTTCTCCTAATCGATATCGTGAGGGACGAATTGTATGTATTCATCTCATTTCCCATTTGTTGTTATAAAGTGAAATTTTTACGAATGTTAAAAATATTGTGGAAAGATTAGTAAAAGATGCAAAGAAATTATATATTGAAAATTTAATATCCGAATCTTGTGTTGGCGCCCCCTAAGGCGTGCGTTCGTATTTTTCGCATACATCGCATTAAAGGTAGGACCGGCCCTGATTATTTTTTAATTTCATATTTTATTATTTGTCATATCCTGTTCATATGTGTATCATTCAATCTGCAAAATACACTATATTCAACTATATTTATATTATCTTATTAACTTATTTCCGTAGGGCAAAAAAATCGAAAATGAAAATTTTTATATATCTTACGTTTAGAGGTTTCTGATATTTTTGGCATACCTTAGAAAAAATGGATGTATGTGTTGTTGCGTGTGTGTATGTGTGTTCGGATACAATTTACGTACGTCGACGATTTCGGAAACACTGATCAAGCGATTTGAATAATCGAAAAAAAAATTCGATTCGTATTGATAAGGAGACGTGCTGATTAGTTTTCGGCGAAGGCAGATCTAGCCGTTCCGAAGATACGGGGCAAAAAGTGAAAACTGACCAAATTTCATGAAGGCAGGTCTAGCGGTTTCGGAGATCTAATGAAAAAAGTAAAAAAAATGCCATTTGGCGGTCAAAAATGATCATTAGACATATGCACATCAAATTATCAGATATTTTATAGAGATTTTAACAAAAAGCATAAATGTTGTTTGCATTCCTATGAGTTCCGTACCAATGTTTATTCGTTAGATGGCGACGCGGCGCTTACGCGCTTGACATTTTGCCTCTATGCAGTTAAAGCAGTACAATTGCTTTGAAAAATTCAGAATTTCCAAATATGTCAAAAAAAAGAAAATATTTTTTTTCAAGAAAAAAATTTTTTTTAAAAAAGGTAATTTTTGTCAAATTCCTATCTTCTCAAAAATCTAATTTTTTTGAAGTAAAATTTTTTCAAAAATGTTAATCGTTTTTAAAAAAATAATAATATTTGTACGGGAAGTTCCCGCAATTTGGCTTAAGGCTAGATGTCATGAGCCC